TTATTGATACAACTATTGGCACAAATGAATGTACATTTTCTGTTAATGAACAGCAAAAGGTGTACTTGCTATATGTCGAGAAATATTCCAAATAGCAAGATTAAGTACTTAAAACGGTTCTTGTGCTTTGGCTGAGTCATTCAGCGAGAAAATAGCAAAATAACACTCGTTCAAGCAGCACAGATCGCTGTTCCAACTCTACTCGATGGGAAGAACGACCTAGAGGCAGCCATCAACAATTTTATAGCCAAAGACAAGGCAAAGAAGAATAAAAACACAAAACTCCTGTGAACCTACTCGCATTCGTGAATGCCAGAATCACCAAACGCTACTCTCAAGCCATTTAATCGTCTTATATTTACCTTTGCAGGTAAATAAACAATGAAATTGTATGTAGATAATATAAGAAATATTCAAATGTGTTGTAAACTCTATTTTCTATCATAAATCCGTGAAATCCGTCAGAAATCCTTTCCGAGCTTCGTCGAACCGCGTGTATTTTTCTTGAAAGAGGACTTAGAACGAAAGCCGCTCGACTGAAATTCAAAACGCACCGTGATTGGTCAGTTCGCGCGCTCTCCGGACAGCTGGTACTTTCTCAAACGTCAAATGAAAGTCATTTTTAATTTTTTAATTTTCGATTTTTTAAAATTWAAAAAAAAATTTAAATTAAAAATTATTTTTTTTAGCTTTTATAAATTTTTTTTAATATGTGGAAGGCCACTTAGTCAATGTAATGTGTAAAAAGATACCTACTCATGTCCTCCTCAAAAAGGGGAGGTTCCTTACCGGAAAAATACTCGTTGTTATAAGATAAGGTCAATCTGCATGGACGTACATTGAAGACAGTACGAGAAAACACTTAGAGCAAACGGAACCTGTCAAAGGAAACATCTAGAAAATTCTGGTGGCTTTTTTAATGAAAAATTAATTTCGAAGACTGTACTTGCCCAATCCAAGATTATCCAAATAGATCAAAGACCATGTACGATAGGGGCCGGGAAGTCAAATCTGTCTAGAGTAGTGTTTAGGGAGTAAAGTTTTATGCAGTTATTTTGGCTAAAGATGAGGTTACACAGGACGTTTCGCAACGACGATTTTTCGCGATACGACTCGTCGATTTTCAATACATGCTCACGAGTTAGCTTTTTGCGTAACGTAAAGCGTGGTTTTCACTAGCGACATAAGCATAAGCATAATCACCGACATAAGCGTATCAAGCCCACTCACTTCTCTGTTGACGTCCTCCGCCTCACTAAGACATGAGCACAAGCATAAGCATAAGCACAAGGATCAAAGCAATCTCCTTTTTATCAGTTCGTAAATCAACATTTTACGCGGGACTATTTTTAGCGATTTCAAAGCCGCCATCTTGTTTGTTGACATCAATATGAGAGTATTGAACTGTATTTTGGGTATGCGTTGCGCGAAAAATCGTTAATGAAGCTGTTACACTAATCAACTTGCAAAAAAATCGCAATTCTGCGTTGCAAGTTTTTGAAGCTAAATCAAAAACTTGCATGTAACGCGTTGCCGAATCCGAAAATCGTTGTAGATGGCATATTACACGGTATCAATTTTTCGAGTAACGGTGTATCGCTAAACATCGTCGTTGCGAATCGTCCAGTGTAACATCAGTTTAAGGAGGATTCGATCAAAACATGACAGCAATAAGGAAATTTCATAATGCAGGGCGTATTTCTAGAGCATAAGCTTCATAGACGACGTCAAATTAAGGTATCGTTTTAAGGAGCGGCAAACCTTGACCATATTGCACGATAAACGCCCATTAATGTTGAGTGTAATCAAAAGAATCATTTAATGTATCCAGATTTACGAGACGCCGACTGCTTAGATGTCGTACTAATTTGTTAAAATTAAAGATAAAGGCGTGCAACGATTGGCTGATTTTACTGTTGACGTCACATCGTTCCAGAAATATTTGAAGTCTAGCCGTGACACGCTGAATCAACGGACATTTTTCTTGAAATTTCTGATTTTAATAGCGATGATTCGAAAACCGATTATTGATATTTTACAATTCGCTAATAGTTTTTTTAAAATAAAATGATCAAGGTTATAAGCAAGAGAGAGTTAAAAAACAAGAGAATTTTCTGGGCTCATGAAAACAAATTATGAATTTTCGTGTAATTTCAGCGATGTGACAATGATAAATGGACATGAGTACTTGCCCGCGCTTAACTGCGCCGCTGTCATACGTACGTTGGTAAATATCGATAACAAGTTATTATGCAAAGACTAGAAAGATCGAAATCTCTTTAAAAGCACATAAAATTAAAACATTGAGTGTTACAATCATTTTAAACGTGTCTGAATGATTTGAGCTGGAAAAGGTGCATGTTATTCTTGAAATCAGAGGTAAGAAATCAACGCTGTTTGTTTTGGGGATTAACGGATGACGTTCAAGTCATTTAAGGATTAAGTAAATGGAAAGCCATAAATAGGGGAAACTTTAATGAAACATCTTCTGTGCTGATCAAAATCAGGGCAGTTCAAAGATCGAATTTGAATTAAGCGTGTTAGGCTTTTGCACAGGAATAACGGAAAGCTGAGGAAACCAGAGAAAACAGCCCTTGAATCAAAGGAGAGACCTAACAAACTCTACTTACAAGTCATTTAAGGATTAAGTAAATGGAAAGCCATAAATAGGGGAAACTTTAAACCTTTAAACAGATGAAACAGCTTCTGTGCTGATCAAAATCAGGGCAGTTCAACTGATCGAATTTGAATTAAGCGTGTTAGGCTTTTGCACAGGAATAACGGAAAGCTGAGGAAACCAGAGAAAACAGCCCTTGAATCAAACGAGAGACTCAACGAACTCTTCTTACAATTATGTGATGCCGAGTCTAGAGATTGAACCAAAGAATCCTGAGGTGAGAGGCAGCGTACTATCGGTACCATGACCCTCCATTCGAATATCCATGAAAC